TATATAATACTGAATATGGAAGCATAGATTTTTATTTTTGGAGACATATATGACAATATAAGCTTGGAAGTAAAGCTTTATTCATATTATTTACATTATTAGGACTCGTCCTTATGTTCGTTGCCATATTCACAACATTTCGGCCATTATCCGCTCCGGCCTTCTTCAGGCAATTGGAATTTCATCCGAAATGTGAATATGGCAATGTAGATAAGGATAACAGTCCGAATAATGTAAATAATCATATTACCTCATCTCAAAGATATAGACAGATACTTTTCATATGCCTTTACATCTAATAATAATAATGATAACATGATGGAGTCGTACCTAGTCTGTAGATGTCTATATGAAATAAGCTTTAGAGTAAAGTGCTGTTAAAAAAATGTAAAACACACATTTGATATAATGTAATATATTAATGATGGTAGAGTCATGGATAGACATGTAAAATAAGCTTTGGATTAAGGGGCTGTAAAAATGAAAATATACTTGATATACTGTACTATATATATATATATATATATATATATATATATATATATATATGGAAGTATAGATAGTTTTTTTTAGAGGTGTACATGACTAAGCTTGTAAGTAAAAAAAAAAAAAGCTATTAAAAAAAGTAAATACAAATAATTTTTAGATGTCCTTATATTTTAAGACATTTTTTATGTTTATACGTTCTTTTTATATATCAACATAAAAAATGTCTTAAAATAATTGTCGGACTTTGTCTATTTCATAATGTGTGATGTCCTTATATCTAACAATAATGATAACCTGGTGAAGCTGTTACTCGTTGTTAGATGTGTACACAAAATAATTGAAGGGCTATAAAAAAAAAAAAAAATGTAAATATACCCTAATAATATATTTAAAATGAATTGAATTCCTGAAAGCTCTTTTTTCCATTGACGTAGTTAATTACAGCACTACTGTTACAGAAAGAAGGATAAAAAAAAATCTCAAAAATGTTTTATAAAATAATGGGGGGGGGGTTATATCCCCCTCTTTTTTTGTTTAAAATTTGAAATATTAACTTGGTGGCTTGTCTCGGCCAAATGTATTTTAAGATTTGAAGCGTTTTCAAATCAGAAATTATACAACCCACACTTAATCGTGTCTTGTACTCTATTCTGTAGAGAAGGAAATTGTTCACTCTTATTCATCAATTCCTAATAATACTGTGCACAGGCACACACACACACACACACACACACACACACAGTGGCTGGCTCTTTGTATCTGAGGATGCCTGCCTACTAACGTGGCTAGTCAATCCTCATTGCAGACGTCTGCTCAGGCACATTTGTGTTTGTTCAAAGACCCATACTGCAACTATACTGAGTAGGCAATAGTTAGTTTCCAGAAGAGGGTGGCATGATCAACATTATGGACAAGGCCAGCGCGCTCAAGCCCTCGGTCACGATGACTTGTGACTTTGACGGCGCTCGAACAGTTCTGTTGACCCAGTTTCACTCACAAGGCTTGGATCAACTTGTGGTTTGATTTTTCAGGCAAAAAAAGGTGTTGCACACTAGGACCGCCTCCTCAGGACAATAACATCAAGAAGTCACCTTCCTGATAAATTGACTCTGGTTAAATTCAAACCTGGGTTGTATGATTGGAAAGTGAATGTACTAACCACACACACACGCACACACACGTGTGTGATGAAATATATTTTATTATTTTTATTCTATTTATGGGTTAAAATGCTCAATATCAGGATAGAGCATATGTAAATATAAAAGTGGACATTGAAGTCAACACCCAGCAGTGTTAGTCTGTTCATGCTAAACACAGTCGTCAGGCTTGAAAATTGCGTTTAGCCTGTAACAAACTGTTGCTAATGGGTGTTATATAGTAAGATAAAAAAACCCGTTGGTATATAATCCAAGTTGATCCCAGTAATATGAAAAGATTAGGACTGATTCACAAAAAAGAGCTTCATGTATTTTATTTAATTTCTACAGAGCAATATAATTAATAATGAAACAAATCCTTTTACCTCATATGGGGAATAGGTTATTCCAGCAGACAACAAAAGTGGTCATCTGTTTTTTCAACCCCGGTATGGAATGAAAATAAAGTTCATGCCTGTAAGATTAGAAAAAGAAGGAGGGGGATGTAGCAGTTAACTATCAGGAATTGAGATTCAAGGCTAAAGGGTCAACTTAAACCTTAACTTTCTGAAGACACCTAATACAGGGATTAAACTTTTCACTGTTTCAGTTAGACGCTAGGCATGACACTGGTCAAGGAGGGTGCTAGGTATCCATCTTAAAGGAAAGAAGTTTTATTTTAAAAAAAAAAAAAAACAGAATATTAACCTTATCGCGGCAAATTGGGTGAGGGTTATTAGAAGAAAACATAAATTTTTAAGTTAAATTTAAAATTAACCTTACAGAAATGAACTTCATTTCATTCCATACCAGTGCTGAAAAGACAGACAACCACTTTTGTCATCTCTGAAATAGCCTATTCCCCATATGAGGTAAAAAGATCTGTTTGATTATCATTACATGTATGTGTGTGTGTATATATATATATATATATATACACACACACACACAAAATAAAACTGTCAAAATGATGAAGGGAATTCAGAGCAGCATGAATCCATTCAGCTCTTATCTTAAATAACAACTTAAAAGAGACTGTTTGACCAATACAAGGACTGACCAAAATTTATGATAAAAAAAAGAAACAAATGAAAACTACAGATAAAGTTCATTTTCTACATCAAGTCATTCATTTCTGTAGTTTACTGTTAATAACAAGCAAAATTTTTTTTTTTTCTCCTGATGATGGCTATGCTGGCCGAAACTAGTTGAGGAATCTAATTGAAATAATAAAATAAAAAAATATTAACATGCAACTCAGTGTGTCTGAAAATTATTAAAAAAAGTTTCTCATTATAAGTTTCTTTCATTCCCTCAATAAAAAAAATTCTCTAGTCGGAAGAAGTCTTCTTGAGGAACAAAACGCATCACATAGGGACTTTCTTTTCCATTTAGTAATTCAGTTAGCCATATGATATTTTAGTCGTTTTCAAAAGAAACCCAATAAGGTCTAAACCTAGCCAGATACTTGCTTCACTCAGTCAGTTCGCTTTCAAAGTCATCGGCAATAACGAGTTCATTTGTCTTAAGGTTTATCTGAAATGTTTTATTTGCTAACTGTAACACTGCCAGATTTTTTTTTTTTTTCAAAATTTGCCCATTGAAGTCCTTGTAGTATCTGATAATCAAAAATCAGAATGATTAATAATGCAGCATGGTGGGTGTATTCGCTACTTTTTAATGTGCAGTTTACTTGAGACTTTGTCTTGTGAACGGCTTCATGAGTGGCAACAATAGTTTTGTTTGCTACATATATCAACACTAAAGAAGTAATGAGTCATGTAGGTGTTCTGTCTTTTTCTTTTTTTTCAGCAGTTTCAGCAGGATAAAAATTTTAAGCAAAATGCTTTGGCAAAAAGGTGTTCTAGTGGGAGGGGTATCAGTTTAAACTGAAGATCTGGCAAGAAGAGATATATTCAAGCCTTGCATTAAATTTTTTATATATATACATACGTACATACACACTACAGTGTATCATTTGTTTTTTTACAGCCCTTTACTCCAAAGTTTATTTCATAGTCACATATAATGACTGTCCATGACTCTTTCACTACACACAGATATATCCGACACACACACATATATATGCACACACACACACACACACACACATACATACATACATATATATATATATATATATATGTGTGTGTGTGTGTGTGTGTGTGTGTGTGTGTGTATATATATATATATATATATATATATATATATATATATATATATATATTCCTATTTCTTTTTAAATATAAATTCTTTTTGTCATTTTCCTGACTTCAAAGTTTCTCTGTAAATTTCCATTCTTCTGAGTTTCTGGTTTTATGTTATATATGATATTTACAATTTTTTTTTTATTGTTTTTTCGAAGAATGGAAATTTACCAAGAAACTTTGAAAACTACAAAAAAAAAAAAAAAATTAATATTTAAAAGTTAGTTTTTATATAATATATATATATATATATATATATATATATATATATATATATATATATATATATATATAAAAAACATTTTAAAGTCGTAAAAATAAAGTGAAATTCTAAAAAATTTTTTTTACATATGGAGTATTGATTAATAATTGATTCAATTTGGCATTCATTGAAGTATGGTTTATCGTTTGTGTACTGGGGTCAAAGTTTATCTCAGGAAGCTGTTTTATTTATTCAAACAGAATTAATAGTTTGGGATTCTAGCAACAATATCTTTAATTTGTCTTTTTATAGATGAAAAGGTCACTATTTTGAAACCTATCCTCGTTCAATACATTTTCTTGAAGGGCTAATATGATCAATTTAAAAAAAAAATGTCATTCACTGTGAGATTATGCATGTGGCGTGGTCATTGTGTGTGATCATCATTCATATGTATGTGTGTGGCATCATGTAGGCATGTGTGTATGTCCTTCATGCATGTATGTCTGTGGTCATCAGCGATATTTGTGTGTGTGTGCGTGCATGATCATAATGTGTATGTATGATCAGATTGTGGTCAAACGCCTCCTTAGCTTATCGTCATTTTGTCCATAAAGTATTCATCAAGACATATTTCCAACACGTAAACACGAGTAGAAATAAATATTTGCATTTACCTCTCACAAATATCAGCATTGGCAGTTAATTTCTGCAACGAGTTATTATCTTTATTTATAATCGGACCATTGTCCTTATTTTTGTTGTTGTTATCCCAATGTTTCAGTCACTGTGTCCTCTGTCGAAACACCAGTCCTCAGACAATCACCAAAGTTAAGCAATGTCGAGCATGGTCAGTACGTAGATGGGTGACCATTAATTATCTTTGTTAGTTCTGCTCAGGGCAGTGTCAGTTATTTTGAATTTCTATATTTAGCAGGCTTCACCTATATATCACGTTGAAAGATGGGTTCTCGTATGATCACCGAAGTTAAGCAATGTCGGGCATGGTCAGTAACTAGATGGGTGACCACTTGGGAATACCAGGTCCTGTAAGCTTGGATGGATGTGCGGGTGATGTAATGGATAATGGCTTGCAAATGTTAATCAGAGATCCAAGTTCCAATTTCAACCAGGTTCATTATATTCAATTATGGGCAAATACCCTTGGGACATGTATTAATCTGCCTCTTCTCCCTCCAGCTATGGGTTAATTAGTAGGACTTGTGTCCATAAATCATTATTATCGCCATAAAAATCTGACAGTCTAAAAATATTTTCTGGTTTTAAATAACCTGTAAAAGGTTGATAAGCCATAAAAAAAGAAAAAAAAAATCAATCACTGTATCCTCCAGACGTCTCCAAGTGCATGTCGATACAGGTTACCCTCAGGAAATTTTGAACTGAACCTTTTAACATAGGGGTAGCTTGTTCTTACTCTTCTGACACCTGCCTAGAGCTGTATTTCTCGACCCCCCCCTTTTTTTTTTTATATTAATACTTCAGCCTGCACTTGTAGAATAACTAAAACTCTTGGGTGTACTTTAACTTTTAATAAGGAAAAATTAGTCATGAAATTTGAAAATAGGACAATAATAAAGAAGTCTCTATTTTAAAGACATTCAGTCAGCTATGTGCCATACATGACTGATGAGGCAGATTTTTTTCCTGCAGTAGGTTGCCATTTCTTTCTGCGGTAGATTGGTTGCCATCCAAGTCTATAGAACCTGGTCTGTCCTGCTATTTAACCATAGCTAGTGGGAGGAGAAGAGGATTCATACCTTTCCCAAGGGTACTAGCACGTAAGTGAATGTAATGGATTTGACTGGAATTTGAACTCAGCTCTCCAATTCTTCAGTCCGAGCTATTATCCATTACACCACAGTGCCTCCTCTTTAAGACATTACATTCTATATTTAAGTTTGCCTGTGTGAAATTTATGCTTGATGCGCTTTGCTAAATTTTTGAATGTTAGCCCTTATATGTGAAAAATGTACTCTCGTTTCTGCATGAATCGAATTTCTGAGGAATCTGCTATTGTTTTTTAGAAGTTGATAGAAACTGATTGAAATCCCCTGAGGAAGGCAAGAAGGAAAATAAAATTATCCACTTAAGGAATTATTTTAAGTTTAAAATATTGAATAACAAAGACTTTGATATGTAAGCCATGTGCTTGGTGTCTCTAGCTTTTTAAAAACATTTTTTTTTTTTTAAATCTGAAAAATAATTCATTAGTTACTCTTACGTTAACTTGGGGTGCACCTGTTGAAAAACATTGGCCTAGAGGATTAAAACATTGATTTGTGGCATTGTAACGGTGCAAGAAATAACTGAGCAGTACTAAAAAGAGAACAAAGTGCTCTGAAATTCACACTGATTGACAGGCACCTGAAGAAGGCCAGAGGGCAAATCGGTCGAAACATTGTGACGATGATAGCAAAAAAGAGGATATCAGTTTAAATGTAAATAACAAGTTAATTGTTCATATCTTTTTTTTTTTTTTTTTTTTTTTTTTTAAAAAAATAAAATACTGAACATCTACATCGGTTCATTATAGTTTCCCTCTTGGGGACTGGAAGTAATAAAAAGCTAGCCTTAAGTCCAGAAGAGTAAAGATTCCTTTCAACCAATGCAGGACAGACTGGAGTCTTTCTTTTTGCATCATTGTTGGTCATCTGTGTTGTACTTGTAAAATACAGGCTAGCCATGTGGGATGGATATTCATTCTTGTGCAAGCAGTGCCTTGTGACAACTCCTATTTTTTTTTTGTGGTTAGTGGGCTTGCTGAAAAGTCTCCGGCCTAATCTGCTTCCCAAATAGCTAATTTTTTTTTTTTATTTTTTTTTTATATTTCTTTTTTAGTTAGGCTTAGAACTTTTCAGCCCCGCCTTCATAAGAAAGAAAACTCTGGAGAGTGTCAGCATAGTGTGAAATTTCTGAAGAAAGCCTTCGTGAAAGCGTTCCAGATCCTTCAGCACCATTTGAAACTAAAACCACCAAATTTGTGTGATCTTCATGCAAGTTTATTTTTTTTTTTTTTTTTTTTTTTTTGTGATCTTCATATTGTGAAAAAGCCTTTTATATTATTATTTTTTTTTTTTTCTTTTTTTTGGTTTGTTTTCGCTTTTTTAGAAGGTGTACTTTTATTGTAGCTGTTTGCTCACTTCTGTTGTTTTTCTGTCCATTGGAATTCTGTTTGGTGCAGTTATACAAACTTCCTTCCAAGTTCAAAATGTGCACGTATTACAGATCCCAGACCTTTGTGTTTTAACTCCAGAAGCAGTGACAGAGTAGGATTTCATCGGCTGATTTTCAAGACAGGCAGACCCCCCCCCATCCCCACCCTTTGGAATATCACTCTAGCATAATCTTGCTTCTTCTTTTTTTTTTGTCCCATCCTAAACTCAACTCAAATAATGTGTACTTACGCTGCAACTCATTTATGCACGTTTTGATTAACTACATAATTCACTACATAATCCAACATTGAATACAGCAATCAAATGCGTATGTACACAATGGCACATACGTGTGTGTGTCTGCATAAATGTATGCATGTTTGTGTAAATATGAGTGTCGTCACACTGACAATTTTTCCTTCCACTTTCATAAAATCACCAATACATGCAACCCTACATAAATCCAAAATTTAAAAAAAATAATCTGTTTGTCTGATGATTGCAAAAGTGTAAAACCCAGGGTCACAAACTCACGTCAATCCAACTAAATATGTTAGCTCTATCTCTGATATTGAGTGATTTCCAATAAGTACTGCACATATATAATATATAAATAATATATATAAAAACTGCATACACACACACACACACACACACACACACACACTTTTTCATATATATATATATATATATATATATATATATATATATATATATATATAATTTTGTCTTTTGGCAATGTTATTTGGTGTCTAGAATTAACTCCTTGGCTATAAAAATCAGGCTACATTTCTTAACACTGGCACTGGTTTAATGAGGCTCATTGACATGATAAATTAAGATCCCTTTCCCCACAAAAGGAAACTGAGAAATTATATCACTGTTTTACCAAGTTTCAGTAAATCAGAAATTTTGAAACCCTAAACTGAAAAGCATTGAAAATGTTCCACACACACAAGTAAACATTTAGCTTAAACTCAGTGAAGTAATTGTGTTCTGACTTCAGCACAGGGAGAGTTAGATTCATATCTGTCAGCATGAAAGGAATATAAGTGGATTTTGAGCTTGAATTTTCCAATTTTGCTTTCTGACCCTTTGCCATGCGACTTTGATAACCAGAATCAGCGTCATCTTGAAACTTAATGGGGGGGGGTGATCTTTGGTTTTTCGGTTGTCTTTTCTACCTATTTAGCCAATTCTGCAGACTATAAAAATAGTTCTTCCTTCTAGGAGTCACTTGCTTGCATTGTATAGGATTATAGACATAAATGCACATCCTCGTTTTTTTCTGTTTTTTTTTCTTTTAAATAAAAGTTCTGGTAATTTTATATAAATCACTAAAAAAAAACAAAAAAAAACAACTTCCCAATTAAATTTATTCATGTTCATTTTATTTAAATATAGCAATAAATATCTTTGAAAAATCGGATGTTTGTGAAAAAGGCTTTTATGCAGTATGAAATCATAAAAAAAATTTTGCTCATTTTTTTTTTTTTGTTTTTTTTTTTTGCTCATTTATATATATATATATATATATATATATATATATATATATATATATATATATATATATATATATATATATATAGGGTGGGGGGTGCTCATTTGTTTATTTTATTTTAATTTTTTTTCTTAAACAACCATTTTCATCCCAAAGTTGGATTTGTACATGTTGTAAAATAAAAATGATCTCTACTTTCTTTGTGGGTCTTGTGTTGTGTTTTTCTCACGTGAAAGACAGCTCCAGGTTTATATGCCCTGAGAATGTGCAGTCAATCATGAAAGGGAACAGCTGCTTGATTTAATGTTGGAGTCGGTATATATTTTCCTCATCCTGTATCTTTGGTTGTGCTGTGCAGCCTCAATCTGAGATGACATCTTCATGGAGCAATGGTTATCAGGCTGGTATCATAGAACATGGGTCGGCAACCTTTTACTATGTGTCGACTTTGGGTTTTAAAATCATTCAGTGTGCCAACAGCATACGTATTTTTTATATAAGTCAAGGTCAATATACCTGTTCTACAATATCTTTTATATAGTAATATATAGTATATATTAAAATTGAAACAACTAAATACATTCTTTGCATTGTAGGAGTTATTGGTTCGGACTTTGTGATGCCATATTTGGCATGTATGCCATAGTTGGCTGACTCCTGGCATAGGAAATAAGGCAATGTCTAAACTTTTTGTCCACAAAACAAAAACACTATGTCAAAATTGCTTGACATCACTATTATTGTATACACTTTTGATTCCCTCGGCCATGTTTGTTTTTAAAAAGAGATAATTTAAAAATCGAAACAGGAATATTGTTTTACACATTTTTATTCTTGAGAATTGACAACAAAGATATTAAACACTGTTTATTAGATTTAATTAAAAACTTGTTTACATAGTTATTTATAAAATGGTAAATAATAAAAATTTGCATTGTTCGATAATTTTATTCTGGCAAAAGTGGACCTTTATGCATGCAATATGAGTTCTCAAAAGGACAGTTTTTCCATTACACTGCATTTTTTTAACTACTTTCACTCTTCAACAATGTTTATTGTTTTAAAAATTTTAATAAAACTGCTAGGATGAACAAAAACGAATGAAAATAAAAGACAAGTGTATTTTAACCAATAAATAAATAACCTTTATTCATTCAATGTCTGAAAAACAGCATGGATTGAAACCATGAATCCCAATTGTGTGACAGGTGGTTGCCATGTTCAATTTAGAAGTGCAGTACTTGTTTTCCAGACAAGGGAAGTAACTCAATTATATTTTGAGTTATTGCCCTTTATAAGGGAAAGAAATTAGCTTCCTCTAACAAAAACCTAAACATGTAAGTGAATTTATTAATTTTGTTCTTGAGAATTGAGAAC